ACACACACACACACACACACACACACACACACACACACACACACACAGTAATGTGATCCGAAGTGCCTGAACCTGAGGGGAAACGCAGATGAATTCAAACTATTCTGAGTGAGCAGGCAGGATTAAAGTTTGGGATCCATTTCTGAATAGTCATCACACCACGTATGATGTTTAAAACATTAACGTGACCCGAGACGTCAGTTAGCGGTTACACTACCCTCCCCTTATACCACACACCGAGACAAAGAGGACTGTGACTTCCTGAAGATCAAGCCCCTCTTTGAGACTCAAACTGAAAATCACCACAAAATATAAGCCGCAGCGACGGGGTGGGGAGAGGGAGTATAATAATGGCGGCCAGGGAAAAAAAAACAACAACTGTAATTGTTAACACAATGATATCTTAAACCAGGAAACTCTACATCAACATTCAATATCATTATATGCAGAATTTCCCCAAGAATTTCCTGACTTACCATGAAAGCCCCCCGACACAAATTGGGTCTACGTTTCGTGTAGTCCACACATTGAAGGTGCTTACATTTTTATCTTTACAATAAATACATGCGCTTATGTTTTATATTTTTGTTGCCACTGTATACGATATTAGTTTATCTGAAATACTTTTTGTTATTTTAAAAGTACATCTTAATGGTAAATCATATTCATACCACATGTACTTACTGGCAATGTGATGCAGAATACTTTTAAACACTTTTAAAACTGAGGAAAATATTATAGTATTTCTTTCATTTCATTTTGACATCTGACATTAAGTCAATGTACGCTGGCCTGCACTGTAGCCCTTGATCTGGTAATGGAATCTTTGATGATGAAGCACATCTTTTTCTTTTTTAATCAGCTGATTTACCTTGAAGGTAACAGAAGCTTTGGTGCAGTAGAAGCCGATAGAGACGATGGGGTCTTTGGGTGTGTGTTGCTGTGGGTTGGTTGGGATGCCTCCTGCCTCTCTCTGCTCGTAGAGGCCTTCCTCATATCCCTCCTCTTCGCCTACGATGTCTGGGACGAAGGACCACGCCCAGGACATCCAACCCTGGTCTCCGTCTTCAAGACCCCCAGACTGCATGTAGAGGTCTTGGCTGGAGTACTGGCTAGCCCCCTGGGTCTCCATATCCACATCCATCCCTGAAGGGGAAGGAAGGCATATTTAGTTAAAGTGCAAAGATATGCAGATGATTTTACTTTAAATAGTGTCAGGGTTAGTATCTGCAGGTCTACTTTTACTCCTATAAGGAGCCTATTCAAGATTCTTCAGCTGAATATTCAGACACTTCCAAACCTACAAAGAACTGGTTCACACAAAGTAGACTTAATATAATAATCATCCAATTACTCCAACAGATAGGTCAATTGAAAGAGGCAGGTTGTGAGAAGAAACTGGCCAAATAGAGAGAAAACTGTTCATAATGGAAGTGTTTGTGCCCAATGCAGCATGCTAAATTAATTTGTCCATGCCCTCGGGGTGGTTTAATATAAGCAAGATGTTTCAGCTGTCAACTGAGCACACAAAAACAGCAGAGACCAAGGCAGTTTCACAGCAGTGCTGCCAATGCTCCAGCATGCAGGTGTGTGCATGAACGACAGAGAGGAAGCCCCGTTCCAATGGAGGCCAGAGGGCACCATCTGTCAGTCAGCATCCTGACAGAGGAGAGCCTTGACTGGGCCCGCTGGATCACCGTGGTCAGGGCCGTCTGAGCTGGACCCAGCAGCACAGGCTGCATCTACAGAGACTGCATGCAGCAGAGGGGGGTTGGGTCACATGTTTGTTTAGCGGCCAACAGACTGAAATGGAGGCCACAAGGGAGGCCGAGTAGCTACGAGCCATCGCCGAAATCCGGGCTTGGCCAGTACAGGTGAAGGCTAGGAAGGGTCGACTGTGACTGTGTGGCGACACATAGACGGAAAGCGCCTGGGGGTTGACTGGAGTACCGGCTACTGTGAAGCACAGCCCTCACACCGGGGGGAGAGGGTAAGGTAGATGGTGGTGGGAGACTGAGTCTGAGTGGGGACTGCCTGGACAGACGAATGGTCTAAATATGGGACAAAGTCTGGACGAAAGGGATACTAGAATAACTAAAGGGTTGAAGATAAATAGAAGACTCAACAGGCAGGCCCTCGTGTCAGCAACAGAGAACTTCGGCTGGACTGGCATGTTGGCAGAATTTTGGCCTCTCACTAAGCAAACTATTTGAGAGGTTCACAGGTTCCCCAAGCCACCATGCACCGACTCCAACCTCCGAGTCTCATCGCGTCTGTTTCCACGCATGTCGGAAGAGAGAGGAAGCTGATGTCAATACGCAAGAATGTGTAATCCCGTTCCTCGCGGCCTCACGTCCTCGGTGAGAAAACAATAATTGTCCGTGAGGTCACAGCTCAGGAATCCCAGAGGCTAAGGCGGTGAAAATTATGACATATTTTAATTAAATCTTTCACTTTGTGAATTGGCAGTTGGAAATCCCATGTTATGGCTTTTTATCTCCCTTCCTTCTCCCCCCCTAAATCTCCCTGCTGGATTTTATCTCTCATTTCTCTTTTTTCCCCCCTTTTTGTTTTCCCTCCGTGGAAGCCTTTGAGGTGTCAGTTCAACAAGTTAAGCTCTTTCGCTTCACGTCACAGCCTGACGAGGCCTACGTTCGAATAGCGAGGCAATCAAAATAAAAGCACAATTACCAATCAAGTGATCAAAAAAGAGCGGCTTAAGGAGACTTTGAAGTATTAATCCAAAGGAGGGGAGTGAAAAAATTCCCAGAGCGCGATGTGGGTTGGCCAAAACGTATGCACCATGACACACAGCATCGCCGTGACAGCGATCACAGCCAGACTGGAATCTTTCTCGCGGACATGTCCACAAGCAGAGCTCAGAAGCGCTGTGTAATGGGATGTGTCAGGGTCATGTTTGGTTTCCATGAGCCCAAGGCCTCTGGGCAGCGGTGTATGTCTGAGCTAGCAAGTGGCGGCTAGGAGTGGGCGTGTAAGTGAGTGAGCAGCTGAGTGACATTGAGACGGTGGGAGGGGAGGAGTGAGAGCAGGCAGTGCCCGCACAGGCCAGTAGATGTCCCTCCATGTTTATAGAGGGAGAGGTGGACCGCTTACCTGACCACTGAGCAAATGCGGCTCTGCTCGCAGCCTTTCCAGTCGCAGCTTATCCGATATATTAGATCTGTCTGTTCACCACTTCCTCACAGGTAATATGGTGCACGCTCACTGCGGCCCACTGGCCTACCTACTTTAATATAAAAGAATGGAACACATATCGAACATGTGTGTTGCATATGGTTTCAATTTAACACCACGAGCGTGACATTAACATCAAAATGTTTTAAAACCAGTTCAAGCGGTCGTGGCAGCACAATATAAAAACGCTCTGCAAGACGAAAAAGCTGTTTTATCCATGCGCTTCCATTAACTTCTACACTCAACGTCTTCACACAGATATTAAAAAGTGGGAAGATGATTAAAAAGGGGCCCCGTCACGTCGCTGGGGTTGCATAAAGGGAGCCGCATGAGGTTCATAATGGGCAGATAGTCTGTGGCCTCTGGCTGATACATTTGTGATGCTCCATTACATTCAATGGGCCTCTAAGGACTCTGAGGCTCTCCCACAGAGCTAAAAACTTACTTTCATACGCCATTGGACAAACACACAAACACTCATACACATATATGTTATACAGAGAGAGACACACACGTACACACATTTCCACAATTCTTCACATACTTGTTGAAACTGTACAGCTTTCGGTGCTGTGACCAGCTGGTTCGAGCATGTTAGTCATCTGTGTTTCCAACCGCTAACATTTTTTACAGAGTTTCACAGAATTTCAGACGGCGGGAAAGGCTAGCCGTCTGATCTTGACTGAAAAGGGTTGCTTTGGTTAGTGACACACAAGTGTCCCGCACCGTTCACCTATTAGGGCTATTCATTAATGAGACATTGGCTCTTACCTAAAAGAGAAGGAATCAAACAAACAACTTGCAGCCACGGTGAATCATGGGCACATAAACATATTACAAGGCTTTTTCCACTTTGTTAATTGGCAAAAAGAAAAAAACACCTTCACATGGGGGAAAATTAATATTAAGAGTATGCAAGAGTAAGAAAAAAAAAAAAACAGAAAACACACACACACACACATACACACACACACACACACACACACACAGGAGTCAGATTATACAGCAAAGTCTGACCACAAACAGCCGATGGGAAATCAAATGAATGTGATAAAGTACTATGCATGATACCGGCATCATGTTCCAGCAATCATGTGACAATCATTGTTTCCTACAAACTGCAACAAACTAAAAATGAATATGCATGTAAGCCAAGTCGGTAACTGTAAGCGTCAACATACATGAAAGTTGTAGAACTCAGAACCTATCAATGGGGAATTTTGTCTGTGGTGGTTAAGAGAAATACGTTATATTTTCTTTATTACAAATAATAAATCATCTGATATTCCTTAAATCTGAAATGTATACACTGAAACCATATGTTCCTGCAGCAACACCTTCCAACAAACACACACCCACCTACTACAGTGCGCGCACGCACACACACACAACTCCCCCCCCCCCCCCCCCCCCCCCCCCCCCCCCCCCCCTTCAGCTTCTTCACTCTGTCGATTACTTCCAGCATAACAAGATCTGGGGGCGCTCAGGTTCCAAGAGCTGGTCCCCTCTTGTATATTTTTGTGATGGGATACTAATTCATTCTCAGAGGCTCCGCATAGCAGTAGCATGACACCGACTCTTACATCTGGCATTGGACACTGAACTGGAAGCTGCGCCAACTAGCAGTAAAAGTTCCAGGCCAACAGGCAGGGAGCGAGTCGGAGGGAGTGAGCGAATGGGCTGTGTTGTGCTGGGCTGCCTGCCTCCCCTCTGCCCACCACTTCCCCTGCACCATAATTCGCTCCTGGTGCTACACGGGCTGATCCAGCCCAGCGGGACCTGGGACCTGATACTGTTCTATTTGGCTGAGATGAGGATGAACAGTCTGAGAACAGTCGGGGGG